TGAAACTGCAGCTACACACTCTGATTTTCACTAGGTACAAAGCAGGCAGAAACTTTCAAATGTGAATTTTTCTGCATCAGATCAGATTGCTGCAATGCTGTCACTAACAAGTGAGCAACTTCCTGTGAATATTTATTAAAAATTCACTGTGGCCTTAGTATGCTTCAATAAATTTTGTTCTTTTCCTCAGAAAGTAAGCTTCCACTTAAGTGATAGATTCCCCTGTTAGTTCAATTTGCTGGAAAGTCTATAATGTTAAACTCATCAAAGTATGGCTGCTTTGTTTTTTATGCACATTTCTATCATCATAGTTATGTAAGTGCTTATGCAATGAAAATATACGTAAGACACAAACCTGACCATGTCACTGAGAATTATTTACAAGAGCTATAAATCAAAGTTGCATCCTGCTTTATTTTATATTTAAGGACCTACTGCACACATAAAATGTCACATATGTCCAAAATTTGCTTTCAGTCACTTCCCCCCCCCCAAAAAACAACCAGAATTGAACTGCCTGCTGAAGGCTATTCTTCAGTCAGAGTCCATGCAAAATTGTATTAGAAGCTTTGAAGTTAAAACATGAACATTGACTACCAGAGAGCGCCCTAAAGACAAAGACATTTACTGGATGTAAAGGTAAAATGTTTCAGTGAAGACAAAGGTCACCTTATATTTTCTCAAAATCTAATCATGTTAGAAACTCGATGTTCTGTTCTCAAGTTTTGTTTAAGAGCTGAAATCTTTTCATGGAAGGAATCAGCCATAAAATATTGTTAACCTTGGTGATTGATTATGCTGTAATGGCCAAGTTATGATAACCTCATGGGCCATGGGACTGCAGAACCTCTGCTGTTAGGCCAGAGGAATCCAATTCATCACAACAGCAGAGCAGATGGGGCACGAGCAGAAGAGCTGCCTGCCAAGCTAAGCTTCCAGTTTGCAGGAAATGAGGTTTTATCTGAATTGGTGGCTTTCATCCAAATCAAGCAGGAAACAAACTCTTTTGAAAATGCCCACAAACTAGAAATTCCCAGAAAGGTCACTTCAGAAACATCAAAACACTCCCAAAACACAATTCCCAAGTTCCCAAGCCTGCAGCTGATCAGTGGCATGGTCTCTGGCAATAGCAGCAGCATCTGCGAATGCCAGCTCCACACAGTAGCTGTGGGAGCTCCCAAGACCCTCTGGCTCCAGTGCAGCCTTGATGCTGAGGACTACCCTGGGAAACCTGCCCAAAGTCACAGCTCCACGTCCGGGAGTGCAGGAGCCCTGGCAGTCCTGCTTCAGCCAATCCTCTTAGTGCTTCCAGACATGAAAATCAAAGTGGAGTTCAAGCTCCCAGTATTTTCTTGCTTTTAGCTTGACAGCGGGTTGGAAGTGGTTACCCAAGACCACTGGCTGGAATTTCAACCTCCCAAGCCCTGGACAGTCCTTGGTGCCATTGGACAGACTACCCCAAGACAGAGGAGGCTGCATTGCCTGGGCTGACCTGCCAAGAAGTGCTCCAAGAATCAGGGGAGCTCAGTTTGACAAGAAGTCACCAAATGGGATAACTTCAAAGCACTTCAGGCGCAGCAAATGTGCTATTTCCAGCTAAACTTTGTTTTACCAATAAATCTCTAACTAGCATGGAATATCAATATAAAAACCAAAGGCCTTAATCTCCATTGCTTACCTTCATATGGAATAATTTGTATTTATGAAACACAATACAAAAGAACACTTATTTAGACCAGCTTTAAGATCTTGAGACAAGTGGCAGACACTATTATTTATGGATAACAAGAATTCAGCAACAGTGCCTTCAGCTACTCTGTGTGCCCTGGCTGCCCCCTCACACATCTATACCGCAAGGTACCTTCTCAGATCTCTTGGCAACCATTCACAAGGTTGAGATGAAAAATTTTCAAACTTTTAGAATAAGCTGGAGTTTTGTTCTGTGTAGAAAGGTAAATTATGTACTGAGAACAAGGCAAAGCAAAGACAAAGTGTGACCTCCATATTTGCACATCTGCTTCAGTTCACACTCCAAGTGAGATTTGTTATTAAAAACTTCAGGTAACTGATATGCATTTTGAAGAATGTGAAGGAACAACACTGCTTCCCAGGAACCACAGCAGGACAGTATGACACTTGCTTTTGGTTCTGCAGTGATGATTAAGGAGTTCAGAGGAAGATCAGTTGTTTTCTGAATCTCAAGTATATGATCTAGTGCCCTGAGGTTCCCTTATTTATTTCTGACTCCTTTTAACAAAGAGGTTTTAGATAAAGTTTTTGGTGTATAAACCAACCTTTTTTTTTTTTTTTTCATGTTGAATATATTACTTACTTGGATCATACAAACATATTTTAATGCAACCCTACAATTACTTTCTCTTCTGCAGTTTACACTTGAATGGTCATATGAACTAAAAAACCAATGCATTACTACAGGGGTCTGAGTGGATGGTGATGGTGTATGTGTCAGCTGGTCTGGTTTGTATATCTCAAGCTAGGTTCTTCTACAGACTATTTTTTCAGCAGTTCAACTGCACTGACTACCCTTGTTCATAACAGTACCTTTGAAATCTGGTTACTACAGTAGACTTCATTACCGAAAGAATTAGAAATAGAGCCTGAATCAGCATATATCTTTTTGCCCCTCTGCATTAGCTGTTCTGGCTCAAAGTGATTTGAAATGAACGAGCCCTTTCAAAGTACTGCTAATGACAGGTCTTTTCTATTAGTAGATCCCAATTAATTAATTATATCATCACCACCACAGGGTTTCTGGGGAAGGGGCTTCTGGCTCTTAATTGCAGGTTCACACATGTTGCATGCTGAGAAAGCACTGCTGTTCATCAGCCTCCACCCTGGACACAAACTGCATTCTAGAGTGAGCTGGAAGAGAGGCAAAAGCAGAACAGAGGCAGGTTGGACAAAGGCTAAAACAAGAAGGCAAGAATATAAATTTGCTGGGATTAATAAGGAAGTCAGTAATTAGTTCTTTATCTTGATTAGAAGGATGTTAGCAAGTATAAAAACATAGAGCAAAGTCAACACTGCATAAGCCCTCCCCTCAAGTCACACCTGGATGAAAAACAGAGCAGCACAGCAAGTAAGTCTAGGCTGCTCTGAATCCCCATAAAATGTAGCAAAGCCACTGAAGCTGGACAATGCTGGGGCTAGGCTATCGCACTGCACTGGTCCCTGAACACAAAGAGGGGAAGCTGGCACTCCTGCATTCCCACACGTGTACCAAAAACAGATCAAATCTGTTTTACAGGGCCTGAGTCTTCCCTTGCACCTTCTGGTCTTTTACACACATGAAGTGGCTGCAGCACACAGGTAAAAACACTGTCAGATATCCCTGACAGCTACTGGCAACCAACCTGTACCAGCTTTTCCAGTTATAAGAGGTAAATGGATAGGAATGATCTAGGGCCATATTTATCTTGTATAATTTCTTCCTTTTACATGATTTAGCATAGTTCCACAGACAAAGGTCTATATTTATCTGAAAAATCTCGATGACTAGGCTGAATTTAATTCAGAGATTTAGGTTAATGCATCTCATCTGTCCTGTAGAATTAATAATTATGCACCTGGAAGAAAAGCTTTGTTTCCAGGGCCCGTTATGTCTGTGCCAGTAAAGGTAACAACGGAAGCTGTACTTTACAAGAAAAGAAGCATGAGAGCAACAACTCTACAATTTACAGTCCAGGATGATAAACTAAATACTCTCCATGCGAACATTTCATTGATAGAACTGTGGGAACAGGGAGATCATCTCCCTTAGTACAACCAAAAAAAAAAAAAAAAAAAGTGTGACTCCAAACATGTGTTTTGAAAATACCAAAGAACTATGACATTTTTGCTCTGCCAGAAAAATGATCACATCTTGATTGAATACTTTGCTTTCTCACTTCCTTTTCCAAGCTGAAATGTCAACTATTTTAAGTAAAATCAGAATATTACTCAACCACAAATCAGAAAAGAACCTTGATGCCAGAGCTGTCATCAAAAGGCACATTCCAGTTATATAGTTGCAATTTTACTATTAAGAAAACAGAGATTAAACCCTTCCAAATGCTTTGCTGCTTAATGACACAATCACTAGCATGTTATTAAAGCTCAGCACTCTGACATTCCAGTCATTATATCTGCAAACACTAAGACATTATGCAACGAGAAAACAATCCTTTTATTGAAACCAAGGATGTCTAATTGTGACAGGTGAATGTTTTATCTACAGAGATGAAATCCATATACATACTATTTTCATGCAGTCTTCATGTTCCATTTACACAGTTTGCTAGTTTAGAAGTGTTTCAGTCAATCAGGAGTTCAAGAATGAAAGTCCATAACAGAAGAAAATTATATTGTGTTATTGAAGTCAGCTAGATAAACAATACCTTCTGATGATGATGATATCATTATGTGCTTCACAATGAACAGTAATACAGAAAACATTCACCTGGTTTCATATTCAGAATACTTGCTGAGCTTCATGTATAAATGGATGAATGAACAGAAGGGTAATTGTGTATTTTTTTAATATAATAAAGTCAAATTTATTCAAATCAGTAATAAAAAAAAATGTTTCTTTATATTTTGTGTGGAGTTCTGCCTTACTGAATTTGTGTTTGTTTATGATTCTGACAAGCTACAAAAAAATAGATATAAATACAGAGTCGATGCTAAATGTGTATCGCTCTTCTTTTGCAAGCAAACTGTCACAATATTATGCTCATTAAAAAGCTTTCAAAACCTAATAGCTAAGTGAAATACTAGATTTAATGACTTGAAATAAATATCTCGCAACAGAGCTATTTAAGCCACTGTAAAAACAAACCTCTTAAACGGTAGAAGCACATACACCAAACAAACAACAGAGAACCTGTGTTCACTGAAATCACTTGCAGTCTTGCCACTGACATCAGTAAGAACTAGACCAAAATAAAAACTTTTGCTACTTTTCTATTTCCTTTCGGATTAAATCTTCCTTTATTTTCTTGCTATACCCAGCCAAAGATGGACTCCTCCTAAAGAAAAAAGAAGACAAGAGTGAAGTGGTGCATTTCCTTTAATATAAAAAAGTCAGATATAAAGTGTGACAAATAAAGACTCTATTCAGATTCTTCAGATTTTCCTTTGGGCCATCACAAAAGGATTTAGCTCTATAAAAAGGCAAAATCCACCTCCCAGCTTTGGCAATGCACACAGACCTTCCTGCTGAGAACAGAGCTATTCTGCTTCCCAAACATGACTGAAATCTTGAAAAACATTTGAGCCCAATGTCAGTAATACTGAAGTATACAACCAGTACTTATTAATAACATTAAACAATATCAGTGCATCTTTTTAATATTATTATTTTGCTTATTTTAGCGTTTAAGCTTGCTTGGCAATTAATGGACTACATACATACCCTGTCCAGGTAGGATGCCTCTTTCTGTGAACTTTGGTTCATATCACTGCCTGTGGGAGAATATTTTGTGGAGGCACATCATCATTTTCAGTCACACTGAATCTAATTGCAACATTCCAAGGAGTAAATAGGTAGCACTAGAATTCAGGTAGATTTTTGTTTTCTCAAGAAAACTACTTATAGAGGCAATAAAATGCAGCATTAATTTTCTAGCTTTATTAATCTAGTAAAAAAAAAAAAAAAAACCAAAACCAAAAAAACAATAAAATGAACCCAGTTTATTCAGATTTGTTGATCCACATCTAAATGTCTGATAGAATTATTCCATTTGCTTCTTCTTTAATGAAAAATTCAGATCAAGAGGAGACCAAAAGGAGTATCTCCTTGATCTGATGTTGTGTAAAATCTGCTAATTAGAAAGAAGATATTAGAATTGATGGTTTTCACCTAAATAGAACTTAATAGTAAATTCTCAGTTAAAGCTCCTGAAAAATTATGTACAATTACAATTAAGGATAGAGTAGGTGTTGAGGAGGAGGGAATGGGTTGGTTGGTTGACTGGTTTGGTTTTTTTTTTAAGTCACTGAAAATTCTATATAAAGACAATACTCTCCCTTCTGATGACAAAAAGAAATTAGTATCTGGAAAGGGAATGGGGCCTGTCTATAAATACAAGCTTCACAAAGCATCACATTGCATATCTGTAACAAAAAGAAAAGCAGATTAGCAACCATTATGTTAAGATGGTAAATCCACTTAGGAGATGGTATATCAGCAAAATTTTGGCGTTTTTTTACAAAAAAATTGAAGTTTTCTAGGCAATCACTGATTAAAAATTTCTACTGCTTTTTCCTTATCTCTTGTTCTCCTTTTTATTGAAAACAAGTGAACAGAAATCCTGGAAGACTTTTTTTTTGTCTTCAGTGTCCTAGATAAACATAGATGTATATGTGCTACATATACATATATATCCAACATATACATTAATAGCTGTGCACAAAAACTTCTGCAATGATATAAGCTGTAGGAGAAAGTATGTGGAAGCTGCTAGATCAAAACATTTAGATTAAGGAGAGAAGCACAGTGTTACAATGGCTTCTGCAACAAGCATTATAGCAGAAAAAGTCCTCAGACGCTACTGATGCAAAAGACACCCACCCTGCTGTGGCAAAGCCCTCCTGGCTGCCAGGAAGGGATCAGTTCAGGAGGAAGGGTACTCCTGCCCAACTCTGTGCAAGGCTTAGATGTCACAGGTACTCACTTGAATTAGATACAGTGTTACAGTTGCAAATAATTACTCTTTCTCATTACTGCAAACATATGAGCAATAATATGGATGAATTATGTACCGTATAGAGAAGCAGATAGTGTTTTAACTGATGGCAAAGATAAGAGAATAAGGATTATCAGAGCCATGAAGGAGTTACCATATGAGGAGGGATTTAGTAGACTGGAACTTCTCAGCATAGAAATATGAATATGTCAGAGGCTAATGGAATCTAGACTGGTGTAAAGAATATGAATAGCACATCATTAATACCCAGTATCTCATAATATCAGAATTATTCAGGAATTGGTTTTAAAGCAAACAGAAGTGCTTTTCCACATAATGCAGAATATTTGCAGAATATTTGCAGAACTTGTGGAATATGCTGTTGCAGCATATTGTGGAATTTCTTCTACTATTCCAATAACAGCCACTGTAGGTCACAGGGGGCATTCACTGGGGTAGACAGATACTTGTTTTGAACCAGAATTTCACTTCTTAGTTCTCATAAAGAAAATTTTTGAGGTAGTATTTTCTTGTCACATACAGGGAAAGCTAATCAGTATGCAACATACAGCATTTTATAAAAGTGAGATATTGGCAACAATGGGCATACCTTTTGGTATATACCCTAACATGCCCATGTGCGGAAACTTCCATCAATACAAATGTAAGCAAAGCAGACGTGCTGTGGCAGAATATGCCATTTTTTAACTCGCCTGGTAACTCTTCATGGATTAGTATATTCTTTTTCCTAAAAACTCATCAGACTGTGAAGCCGAAAATTCCAATTGCATTTGTAAGCATACACTGCATTATCTTAAATTGTGCAGCAACCACAATGTCTCTAATTGAAGCTGGCTCCGTGCAGAGCACCAGTTCTAATTCCTGAGTCATTTTCCAGTAATGAAATAGCTGTATTCAGGGTGCAGTGTGAGAACATGTTTGATAGTTATGTTAAATTGTGTTACAGCTACCTTTGAGGAGCATCTAATTTATTTATTGTTTGTATGAAACCAACCACTATTCTCTATATGTAAAAATAAATTATTATTCATACAAGTATTGCCTTGGACCAATCTGTGAATAATAGTTTAATTACATATTTCACGTGTTCAGAAAAACTTGAAGATATTTTATGTTCAACTGCAGCAAACACTTCTGCTATCCTTCCTCCAAATGAATACATAGAAGACCCTCATTGAAACACAAGGGTTTTACAAATAAGATTAGAACTGTCTAAAGTATGCAATGAATTTCATAATTTGTGAGTTGTAAAACCTGCTACCCAAAACAAACAGCTGAATGGACCTTAAACCTAGGGATCTTAAGTCAAAGCACTTGCATTAATAATTTGTTTTCTCTGGTAAAATAAAACATCATCAATTCATTGCCTACCTTCTCCATTAAACTGACTGCAAGTCAAGAGTCGACTTCTGAACTTTTCATTTTCTTCAAGCATTTTTGAAATTACTTTCCAGACCTTAAGCCAGACTTTGGACTGAAAGATAAAATTGAACTTTCTCAGTGAAGCATATAGAAAGTTTGAATTAAAACATATATAGGGCAGAACTTTGAATTCTCCAGCATAATTGTGAAGTCCAACTGTTTTTTTGTTGAGGAAGGAGATGTGGAGGAAGAATATATATGTGGGATATACTGGAAGAATGACCTCTATTTAAAAGTCAAAAAACAAATTACTCCACAATTTTCCACCTGAGATATGCTCCTCCTTTCTTGCCTAGAACTCTTGTTTATCCAGGACTTGTGAAGTGCCCTTCTAGCTAAGAAGAGCTTATGAAAACGTGTGTAGAGCCATTAAACTCCCTTCAGAGTAATCCAAAATGGAGGGAAAAATAAGATTGCTTCTTTTTCCCGGAGCCAATCTTTCCCACATAATCCCTGAGCAGCAGCATAATTCAGACCCCATGCTCAGATTCCAGAATAGCAACGACCTTGCCTATTTCATATCAAATCCACAGTAATCTGTTTTATAAATGTTGATGACCTTTATGTTAGAGGCATAAAGCTCCATTTATAATGGGCACATTTCAAACTTGTGCATTTAAAATATTAAATTGGAACTGTTGACAAAGGCATTCAGAGTGCCAGCCTAACAAATATCAATGGCTGTTAACATGCTAACGTTACAACTTTTGCTGGACTCCATCCGTGAAACTAGTTGAAATCTAAAGATAATTCCTTTCTCATGGACATTTATTGCTAAAACATAATACATATTCCTCATTCTTTTTGAAGACTATTTAATGTACTAGAAGAGCGATATTACAGTATGTTATTAGCTCTTCCTCTGAAGTAAGTAGTATTTTGCTGGTTTTAAATCAAGTATCTGTGACACTACTGTGTTATGGTCTAGCTGATTACTTGTACTTCACACATTACAAAATCTCATAATGAGTTACCGTTTTAATAAATGTGCCTTTTAAAATTTCAAGCATTTGTTGAACTACTGAACAGGAACAGAAGTACATTTGTGAAACAGAAAGTAATTTTGTATTACTCCTACTATGGTGTTAATACCTCTGATTCTTGCCTTTGCTTACTTGTAATCTGTGGGATTTCTTTGCTTAAAGCAGAAGAGGAAGAGGAGCTGCAGAGCTTTTCCCTGCTGGGTTTCACCCAGCAAGGTGTGCAGGACCCTGGCCCCTATCCAGCAAAGCATTTCAGTACAGGCTTTAAGTCAACAACATACTCTCATTTTTCAAGGTAAGCACACACTTAAGTGCTTTATTGAATGAGAGCCAGAATTTTAAAGCCTCCAGAGAGGGAAAATAATACCATTTTTCTTTTCTGTAACTAAGGTTTTCAGCAACAGACTACCAATCCAATCTTTTAATCTCCCTCATGCTCTTACACAGACATACACAGAACAAGCAGGAAGCAATTTTCTCAAATGCAAAGGCAGCTAATTCAGGTCCCACATTTTATACCTTTTGCTTCTTTCGTTTAATTACTTTATCAACATTTCTTGACGGGAGGGGAAAGTCAAAGGTGTCAGTCTTAGCCTCTTGAAGGTCACCTAGGAAGAGAGTTTAGAAAGCATATTTTGAGTGTTTACAATATATTCATGATGAAGCTGCAGATCTTCCAGACGGATACTTATTTCTGGTCCCAGCAGGTTACAGGATCAATCCTTACATTGTGCTATTGCTTTGCTTATATTCTCCATTATGACCATGGTGCAAGTGCGTGTCACTCAAACTCCACAGAACAGATTTCAAAACTGTACAGCAACCAAAAATTAAGACAATGGGCTTCTAGGCATTAACAACTGGCTTTTAATTCCCTCTTTTTCCTCTTGCTATGGCAGCTACTAAAATTCTGCCTAAGCTTAAAGAGGAGGTGAGTAGACTGAGGCACGAAAATAGACAAATCACCTCTGCTAGCACTAAAAACGGAAGGAAGAAGGGCAGGTTGATCTTGTGGATTCAAGACAAACATAGCCACAAGGAGGAAAGACTCAGGTGAGTTCCCAGCGCAGTGAGGACAGCAGCTTTCCAAGGAGCTGCTGGACAGGCAGGGCATGGCATGAGCTGAGCAAAAGGGTGACCCGTGAGGGGATGCTGAATGTGGTCACAGCCACAGGCTCATCCCCTGCCAAAGCAGGGCTTCAGGCAAACTAGCATTCTCCAGGCCACCACAGCCCCACCACCAAATACCCATGGAAGCCACATCGCAGGAGGAAGGCTTTGAGTTACCAGTAGTCACAGGCTGCCTCCGAGCCACGGGTTGGCATCACTTGGATAATAACCTGGCAGAACTGGTGCTTTTAGTTACAGACTAATGTAACACCTTTATCATCTTTGAAAAAAATGGCTTTTAGGGGAGAAAAAAGAAGAAGAAAATGAAAACATCTCAAGACCAACAAGTTAGTAAAATTCAGGACCACCCTATCTGTGTCACCCATCATTTCCAGCTCACACACTGGCTTTTTCTCCAGAAGCCAGGTCATGCTCTCCATTTTCACTCCATTTCATCCTGTGCAGCAGAGCTATGTTTCATAACAGATCATGGATGGAAAACTCCCTAATCTTTTTTGTTTGCTTTTATAAAAAAAGGCACCCACACCCATGCCCATCCCAACTTTCTTTGGTTCCAGCTACAAAGAAAGAAAATTAAGAAACATCTTCGAGCTGTCACAGAAAAGAGGGAGCCAGCAGCACAGTGGCTTTCTGGTGAGGCAGGAATCTCCTGAGAAGAGGCAGGAAGGACCCAGAAGTTCAGTGTGTAATTCAGTGTGTAATAGAGCAGCCCTGTTGGATGTAGCTTATTTTTGGGCTTATTGACATCACAGGAAAGGACAGGGAAGTCTGCACTGCCCACAGCCACCTCACCTTACAGGATAAAGATGCTGTAGCTCAACAGTGTAAGGCAAAAATATTACATTTTTAACTCATGTAAATTTAACACAATGTTCCACCTCCTGCCTAAATTACACTGTCCAATTGTTTTGGGCACATTAAAAAAAACAATTGTGCCAGCTTCACCCCTCAGTGTGCTGTCTGAGAGGGAAGACCCTGGTGGGACAGCATCAGCAGCGTGCTGCAGGGAAATGGTTTCCTGCCAGAAGAGGGGAAGATGGCGGTGGCTCAGCCCCGTGCTCTCCTGTGCCCAGGGGCACAGAGGTCCCCGCGCTCGGTGACACATACCACCATGGTGGCTGACAGGTTTCACCGTGCCACAGCTCCCCACCGCCCGTGCCCTGCCACCGGCAGCGGGTGGCCCAGGTCTGGCCATGTCCCCTGACGCCAGGGCGGCCCTTCGCCTCCCGGCCTGCCCCGCGGGCCTCGGCCCGGCGCGGCCCGCCTCAGCCTGCCAGCAGCCCCGGCCGTAGCGGATGACGGAGCCGCAGCAGTGGGAGCCGAAGCTGTTGACATAAACGAGCGGCACACACGGCCTCCCCTGGCTGCGGCCAGGCTCCATCTCTGGTGGGGCAGGATGGCGGTGAGGCCCCGCTGAGGAGAGACGGGGGCTGGAGGGGCCGGTGTCCTGGTTGCCACGCTGCAGGGTGCACAGCGCCAGCGGCCCCTCCCTCTGCGCAGGCATGGCATGTGGGGACCTGCGGAGCACTCCTCCTGCCCCGTTCTGTCTGACTGCCATCGTCCCATTTCACCTGGATGGTGAAGAAGGGAGAAGTAACTGTTTTCTGAGCAGGAAGGAACAATGAGCTTGGTGCAGAATAGGAGCAGGCCTCGTACCACCCCAGTGTCTGTCTTGGTAGTAACCTGCTCCACAAGGTTGGTTTTGGCCAGTGTTAGTTAGGGTTTAGCACAAAGTATGCTGCCCGAAGTCATACATTGATATATTTTGTGCAATATTGACAAAGTGATACAGAAGACTTCATGCTGAAGGCAGTGATGTATGGTTTGTCCCTGCTGCAATTTGCAGAAGAGGAACAAGCAGCATCTTCTTTCTGTGGGTGCTTCCATGGCTCCTGAATTGATATAATGAATTTTCATCCTGGTGTACTCCAAAGAAGCTTACTTGCTAGAACATGGGTGAGTGGCTCCAACCACCTGCTGAACAACATTTATGAAACAGTAGTTTAAATACCTGTTGTAATTTTGTCCTTCAAGCAACAGCAGGCATATATGCATGCTGTGCAATACTGAGAGAATGCCCATCGCAGACGGGAGTCCTTCCTGTGAAGGTGCTCCACAGAGACATGTCCCTCTGCAGCAGGGGCCATGAGATATGGCCAGTGACGTGGGATTTTTCAAACCACTTAAGAGAACAAGTCCCATTGATTTTTGCTTTGACAGTGAGATACTGCTCCGTATTATCTCCCAGGGTTTCAGCACACTTAGCTGCTCAGACGAGGGGAAGCCTTACGAATTAGAAAGAATAAATTCTGTGAAAAAAACCCAAACAAACAAAAAAAAAACCCAACCTTTTTCTAATCGTTTTAGCTGCACCAGCAGTATGAATGGCGCTGACAACCTGTCGCCCTTGAGAATGAATCCGAAAAGACCACGAAGCAAAGCGGAGTCTTTCCCCAGCCTCTGAGGAGGCTGAGAGTCCTTGAGGTCCCCGGGGCTGCGGTCCCCTTGTCCCCTGGCAGGGCAGGGTGCTGTGCAGAGGGACCCCACGAGGTGGCAGCCTTACCTACCGAACAAGCCCGTGTCCCTGACGCTGCAGCGACCTGACGAGAGGAGGGGAAAGCCCACAAGCACTCTTCTGCGAGGTATCCCAGGATTTCCAGGTATCTTATACACTGTCAGAAAAAGACATTTTGTGTATGCAGTTGAAAAAGAGGAAAACAGTTTCCAGAGGCACAGCCTGACAGTTTGTCAGAGTCATTTGTTATTTCCCAATGATAAAAAGGCATCTACTGCAGGCTCCAAAGCGTATGGACTAAGAAGGAGGTCACAGATACAATACAACCACGGAGTCGGTAGCCTTGAGATCAACTGTGATCTCAGAAAAACTACCCAGACACCACAGACTTCCTCTGCAAAGATGAGAGCTAACAAATTTGCCCAGTGAGGTAGCCGGCAAGTTCAATTTGGGGGTGTTAAGCCCAGAGAGAGGCAACTGAACAACTTTGTTAAAAACTGATCCTGAAGTGCGAGCTTCGTCATGTCTGTTAACCACAAAGCCCTGGTAAAGAAAGCACTTCTTTTGCTGGAACACACAAGTCTCAGTCCACAACTCAAAAAAACACTGAACACATGCACATAAACAGCACCATTTTTATTCTATGACTGTCTTCACACTGTACGTGAACGCTTGCTGCTGTATCTTCCTAACCAGGAGTTCCCTTTGCCAGCTGCCAGGCTGCTTCCTTCCTATGGCTCTGTCAGGGCATCAGGGCTGCCAAATTGGTGGTTTTCTCACATCTATATTTATGGAATATGCTTCCACCCTACTAATACAAATACACATGCCTTGTGTGGGACATTTTGTCCACTTTTCTCAATAGTACATTGCCAGAACTTTGATTTCAAATGCAAATTCAGCTCAGATCCCTTTTAGGATCTGTTGTTACTGACAAAAATCAAGGCCACCTAAAATCTGTGATCAGTCTGCGTAACTGGAAAATTCAGCTATTTTAGCTGTACACTGTTCACCTGCCTTTCCACATGTGTTAACTGACTATCAGCTAGCCACTATCTCTGTATTTATCACTCTGAACAAACATTTCAGCTTTTCACCACATCTTCAACTGTCTAGTTAAAAACAGACCAGATTCTAGCTTTCAGCCTGCACCTCATCATGCCATTTGTTTTGTATTTAAATGTCAGCTTGTCCAGCTCAGAACTTGTATTGTTTCCTGAATTCTATTGTTTCAGTTTTACTTTGGCCAAGTACACATCATCTATTAACCTTGACTATCACTTTAAAATAAGGTAGGTTTTGGTGGTAGCAAGCCTACAGCTTATGCCGAGGAGAGGGAAGGAAGGAGCCAATGGGGCACTGCTGCATGTACATTTAGTGATTCCCTGATTCCCTAGAGATACCCTGCAAAAAGGTAACTCCTGCTGTTGGAGACTTGTTTTTCTGTGAGGATTCTTTACCGTGGAGTTAAACAAAGTACTCACATAATTCAACATAATTCAAGCAAGGTAGGTTGCTTGTTAAGTATTACATTATCTTGATCAACTGACTACATCTGAAATATGAATCTTAACATAGTTAACAGGGATTTTTACGTGGAAAATATGCTAATTCTGATAACAGCTACAGTCAAACCTTGTTAATTATACCCTCAGCAGTATCACAAACAATTACTGTATCTCCTTCATTTTCATAGAATATTTAATGAGAGTCGCTGGGGTGAGGTATTTTATTAGAATGTGGGGTTTTTTACAGAATACACTGGGGACCATTTATTAGTATAACTAGGAATCATTATAAAAACAAAAGTCACCACTTCTGGTAAATCGAAGTAATGCATTCATCTTTTGCTTACTTGTAAAATTTCATAATTTACAATGGATCTCACAGTTAATTATGTAAGCAATAACACAGTGCAGCAGAGAGATAAAATGGCCAGCTGCCATTTTAACACACCTGCATTTCATATTAATGAACCAGCATATCTCAGATTGCTTAACAAACCATACATGTGGGAATCACTTCATCCACACCAGTCATAAGGAGAGGCATATTTTCCCATTTCTCCATGCTGTGCATAAAAATATTTAGCAGACTATAAACTAAGTTTGGTACATAAAAGCCTGAGCCTCCCCTTGAGATTTTCAAATTACCAAGATCCACAGACTTCATAATGAAAACCCAACTCAATGAGACCAAAACCATTGGCTGAGAATAACTTTGTGTTACAGTATTTTAACAGACATTTGCAACTATGGGGGAAACACAAAAAAGCAAAATGAACATGGAAGATAACACCAGAATTAAACAGCCTTATTTCTGAGAAAGGCCTGTAGTCAAGGGGATACAGCAAAAGGAAGGCAAGGACTTCAGTTTCTCTGATTTAATTTTTCCACATGAATGTGCAAGTTACTGGTGCTTAATGATTATATCCTTTGTTTCCAAATCAGAGATAGTAGAACTTTACCAAATTTTAGGCTGCTATGATATTAAACGTTATTACTGCTATTCTGGGGAATGTGTAGTTAGACCCTACGTGAACATGCAGATGAGGAAGTTTAGTCCTACCTGCAATAAACCTCCAGATATTGTTCTCTTACATCCTGGAAGAATACTGGTTCAGTACAGGATATAAAAAGGAAAAATCACTAAATCATCTTCAGATTCAGCAGTAATGTAGGTCTTCCAAGACCATCTGTCCAAGCACAGAATGCTCACGTTTTCTTAGCCTCTCTTCTGAAATCTAACGTGATCTCAGGCCAAAGTGTGCCTGCAGGCTAACAAAATCACCTGCATATATCTGCATATATGAGACAGTCCTATTTAATTTCAGTATAAACACCATTGAACACACTCATTCCTCAGCTGTAAATCCACTTTGTAATGGTACTAGGGTCTTTGTAGAACTGTTCCAGATACTGACCATTCACTCCCTCCCTACCCACAGAGACATAAGGATGCTGCCAGAAAAGGAACAGAGCAGGGCCTCTGTCTCCAAGGTCTGGTAGCTCTGCAGGGAAAACTGGAGCAGTCATTGCTTTGTTCTGCCATGACATTTCTCTAAAGACATCCCCCTGTAAAAGCAACTCTTGAGCAAATTTTCTTGCCACTGACTGAAGAGCCGAGTTGATTCTGCCAGTGTGTACAGAGTAACATCTGCCTGTGAACAGCTGGCCCGCTGAAGCAAAGCTGGGGGGTACTGCCTGCTGCTTACAATGAGAATGTACCTCAAAAACTTAAGAAATTGCATTTAACTCACTGAAAGAAAATTCAGAAATACTTGACATGAATGTACTCCATACACAAGCCAGTACTGGGCATGTGCTTATAGCAACAAGCACTGTCTTGAAAAATGACACTTTGCTAAATTGACAACTTAATGCTTAGCAAGGCATAGCAAGGCAGAAACCATCACTAAGCAAACTGGTCCTGGTTCATGAGTCAGCAGCAGAGTGAGATGGTGATTTAGATTGAGCAAACATTTTCTCAGACAATGGGTTGGAGGCAGAGACTTTTTTTTTTTTTTAATTAATTGCTCTGTGTGTGAATTGCTACCCTTCCACAGATTACAAAACTGTGTTAAGAGTTACTAAGGCACACAGCGTGTGTCAACTGCATCTATGCTGTCAGTCTGCCATTTACATAAAATCCATGTTCTTCATTCACATGAAAAGCACAGCAACTCACCCCACCATACAATTTTGGAATAAAAAAATGCCACATAGCTGAGAGCGAAAAAAGCCCATTTAAATCTTTAAGATTAATGTAAAACCAAAAATGTTTTCTCACAGTTACCCTGTACCTGTGTTGTATTCAGATGATTTAACCTCAGCTTTCATGACTCACCAAAATTAAATTTCAGAAAGAAAACACAATCAAACACAAACCTTATATATTTCCATATTTTGTATGTGCAAGGAGGACTGAGAACTTTTGACTAGCAGATTTTGCGAAGGAACCTTAACAGAATAGTACCACATTACGGTCTCCCAAGCTCCATAAACAAGGTGACTGAGGGAGCTTCCCTCAGTGATAGATACATATAAATTAACATTTAGTATCAGATTGTCTCTCTGACAAGCCCTACAGAAAGTCAGCAAATTACGTTCATGTGTCATGAGAACAGGTGATATCTGATAGCATTAATCAGAGCATCAAGTTTCAGAAAGACTTTCTCCTCTTCTTAAATGGGGAGTTCAGTAATGTTTTTAGAGTGCCAATTCAACACACCCCCCCTTCAATTTCTATGACTGCAAAGACAGCTGCAAGTACATTCTTATCCCAGAGGCTGTTTTTCATACTGACAGACTGAATCAGCTTATTTTACACAGAGGAAGAGAAGTCAGTGTTTTTTCCTCATCGATCCTTTCTGAGGCTATTATTTGTCTTAGATTTCCTGTAGGCAAGCAATGTGCATTTTGGAGTGCGGCTAAGCCGGCTTTCACAGCACTGAGTAAGCAGCAGCTGGAGAATCGGGACAGACAGTAGAAACTGTCCGACAACGATTTGACAGCTAAGAGACTCTCTTTAAAATATACCTTAGCCTTTAAATCTGTACTAGATGGGTTATATCCATCTCCACCCAAACGGAGTTTCTTCACTCCTGTGGAATGTAGCAGTTCATTTAGTGAAAGTAGTACCCAAGAGAAAGCTGGTGGCAGTTTGTGCTGAAAGAAAATAGTTGAGATTCATGTACTGTGGAAATTCTGAAATTCCACCCAGCAGGCATACCTCCCTCTTCTGGAGTCTGCCTGTAATATTTATTTATAGTTTTAGGACAAACTGAAACCCAAAAGGGATTTTTTATATCATCTTTCCTAGAAAGTTACTTCTCAGCAATTCAGAATCAGCCAAGGCCATCACTACCAAGAGTGATTAATTTTAGTTTTGAATGCTCGACTTCAGGCATTTCACCTTATTGATTTTAATTTTTTAGCCTCTGCCTATGCAATAAAATTTCATTTATTAAACATTCAACAAAGTATTTTGCAATCTTCATATAGGAAACTTTAGAATATACACATCCCTGACTGTAAACCTGATGTTATATCCTGACAAACACCTCTAAGCTTAAAGCATTTTGAATTGAAATCAGTCAGGGAGTGCCTTGTTTCTGAAGGACATCACTACCTCCACCACCATGGCATCAAAAGATTTAAACCCCCCATATTCCAGGACCAAATTTTAAGTCTTGTTAAAAAACAGTATCAGATAAACCACTGATAAGCATATGCTTTCTAAAAGAACATTTTCACTCAAAAACACTGTCAAGAACTTGTTATCACATTGGGAGAGGCTGAACTATGACTATTTCCTAACAATACCAATGCAGAGAATGGAGAGATAATGCGTCCGTTACCAGCCAAGTCACACGCTAAAAACTGTTCAATACTGTCTGGTGCTGTTTGGCTAGCACAAAACGCAGCACTGAGGAGTTCATTATTCACTGGGCAGTCAAAGCATCTCTAGCCTCTGTATTTTTGATCCAAAGCATACCAGCATTTTCTGTTTATTTTTAAATAGCCATTTTAAGGGATTGGGAGTATAAACACAGAGTCACAAGCAAAGCTGTTCAATTCTGATTAAAAACTAGTTTCTAAAGGCATTAGCTTCTATGTTGGCATCATCTGAAGCCAGTGGGAATTGAAGCGATTAGCATCTTGCAGAACTAATCCCATTACAGCTCTATTCTGTAAGATCTGCATTTCCTGAAGCACCCATAGAAAAGATACCCAACATCTATTTAACATTTACAGCATCATTCCTTAGATGATGGCGTAAGAGATGAGCAGCTCAGACACCAAGAGCAAAGTGCTGGTCAGTGCAGTGAGCTCAGTCTGATTCCTACTGCAGCACTGTATTTTGGGCAGCAGTTTTTTCTCACAAGGTACATGTGCATATTGCAACTCGCAGTTCCATATAGCAGAACGACTTCCAGACCAATCAGAATTATACTTCATTGAAGCTTAGCACTTTGTGTCAAAGTAAGAAGACCAGCAAAGTCTGGGGAATTCCTACCTACTGAGGATGCAGAACTCTTGAATCCTTTATGCAGGGTTCCTGTTGAATAGTCCTTGGAGGGTAGATTCATGGAGTTGTAACACTTCACAAAACTTTTCTAGACATTTCAAGTTTAGGTATTTTAAATTAAAGGCTGACAGTAGCAAGCTCTTTAAAATGCCAGACTTTTTCCTTCTGTTAGTATCAGATCACAACCATGAGACAATTAAAAAGAATCCTTGGTCTATCCACGCCTTGCTTGACTCCACTCCGGTTATCTTTTTGTCCCAGCTGCGCAGTGGTTTCTGACTTACACGATGACTTACACGTGCCTCAGTGGTATTCTTCCCACTGAACACATCACCTGCCCAGTTAGCTTGATTTCACAGCTGTGTATCGGTTTTCATCTTTGTCCCTATGAATTAGCTGCAAAGAGCACTAAATAGAAACAAGTGAACTTCCTACAATTCTTTGGCTAAATTGATATGCTCAAGGCTGTGAAAAAAATAGAAATGGCAGTGCTGAAGCTGCTGAAAGGCTTTTCCAAAGCTACACACAATTTCTGACGAATACTCTGCAAGCACCAAATTCACAAAATTAAGTAGGTAGAATTTAACATTCCCTAAAGACAACATCTGGACACAAGCCGTAAAAAAGGTTCTTCTTACAGCCTGATTCAGAGAGCAGTTCTACAGTTCTCTAGACATCGCCCTTGCCATTTCTGCAGCACTGCATGTTGGGTCTGTACCGATTTAATGCAGTGTTCAGGGTACTCGCCATCTCTCAAGAGGTTCTGCCCTCCCTCACACACCTCCTACAAAGCCATGCTCCATGTTTTGACCAGGACTGCAGAACTTAGGCTAAAGCACTTTACACATCATATAGCCAGACACGTGCTGTACACTTCATCAAAATCACTTCCTCAAGCCCCATGAGCTTCAGCCACAAAGGAACATGTTTCTACAGGAAGCTTAAAATAAAAAGGTTAAGAAGAAACACTGAGTTAAAAGTTTTATTCATTCAACATCTCACATTACAAATATTTAAAAATTATATGCATACTGGTATAAATAGTCATTTGCAAACTATTTAATAACATTAATTTTCACTAGCACTTCAACAAATGAACTCTTTAAAAAAAGTAACTTGTGTTATATAACTTAGAGTAGAACATACAAAAATATGAACTTAAACGTGAAAATGACTTTAATAAAAAATGAATTACCCTTATTTAAAATGCTATAATAAATACTACAACCTCCCCATACACAGTAAAAACTATATGGAAATTCAGCCAAGTAGTACAATTAACTGACATACTTAAATAACTTTTCCTTCTGATAATATGAGCAATACATTGGGGGAAAAACATATTAGGGATTAGTAAAAACTAGACACCCACTTGCTAAAAGTTTCACTTCCAAAAAATATAACAAAAAAATCTGATGAAAATTATAAAAACTAATTATACTTTAAAATTTAAAAATATAAAAAATAAAACAGTTGAATACAATATTGTCCCAATTCTTACAATGCTATCACAGTAGCTTTAAAATAAGATAATAAAATAAAGCAAATGACCAAAACCTTTTATTCCATTTTTTTTAAAAATAATCTCAAATTTACATTAGTAGAAAGATTGATTTCTGATTCTTTTCTTTAGAAACACCAGCAAGAAAGAGGATTTACTAGAACAGTAGAAAATGACATTTTTAAATGTCTGCAATTAAAAACAAAGAATTACACTGCAAAGATCTTCCAGAAGTCTGAAATAGGTATTGCACATAACTTGAAGTTAACTTGCCACAATTCATCACATTCAAGTTTTAAATCACCTTTTAACAGAAGGTTTTAACTCTTCAAAAACAAAAGGGGTGAATTATCAAGTCTTTCCAACAGCATCCTTATAAAACGCTAAATTCATTCACTGCAAGTTTTAAATTTGCATTCTGCAGAGGTCTGTGTATGGAGAAGTATATACTATACCAAAAAGCACGGGGCAGTGGGGTTCCTTTACATATAAAATAATCAGAAACACTTTATTTTACATTGCAAAAATAACCATGTAATTACTCCGTAACTACATTGTAAATACATGGCCAGTGCCATGCTAGTGTGATAAAACTACATGCTTATTAACCCCTTTGCAAATTGAAGTGATACCCTAAGACTGGTAACCCAATTACATGTTAATTATGTTTGGAGCTACATGGTAACCCCAACTACAAATCCCATGTAATCAGAAGGACATGTAATCACTATTTAAGTACAGAGTAATGTATATAATTGTTTATGCCCTGTAAATCGAAGTGTAACCAAATAATCTGTAAACACGCTTGTCACACAATCACAAGTGAATATTAGTAGAATAACAATTTCTTACATTAGTCATGCATACTAACATTACATGCCTGCCACCTAGCAGGCTCTCTTTTATTCTTTAAATATAATTTAAAAGAGCAGACACATTTCTGCATCAAACACCTAACATCAATTTTTTTTATTAATATTAAAAATGGCTAAACATTCACCAAAAACGTCTGCATTTGTGTATAATTTTTAAAAACTTAGTAAGAAGCTGTAGACAATTTTGATGTTTCTTTACTTTTAAATTTCTACACTATATTTATGCATTTAAATTTCATGGGTCTAAAGACAAGTGTCATTTGTCACTTTCATGCTTTTCTTCTTTAATTCTCAACTTTACATATACTATTTCTTAAATTATATGTACACCAAATACCTGGTGCTGGGCTAAGATGTTTAAGCAACATGCTTTCTTTTCTCTGCAGATTCTAAAATAGCATTGCCAGTGCACAACATCCATAATTCAAAATGTATGCAGAGCACTGAAATGTATAAAAAGCAGAATATAAGAAAATAAAATTTATTAAAATTATTTATATTAAAAAATGAAGTATATGAAGATCTCTCAGTAATAAAAGTACAAAAAGCTACTCTTTGCAATATGAAAAATTGAGGTATTGCATAAAGAGATATCCCGTCAGTGAAAAGTGTGCCTAAAAATGCTCACTGTTGGAAAAACAAGATATACAAAAGTAGTGCATAACAAATATACATTATGTGCATGACAAAATAAGTTAGCTACAAAAACACTGTACCGAAATTCAGCAGGTCATGTACAAAGGGAAAATTATTATTCAAAGCTAGTTCTCAAACAGTGTTATTTCTTGTAATGGTAACCCATCTCACCTGTTTACTGGGTAGGATCGGCACAATAGCACACCCCAAGCCACCTAACAAGCATTAAAAAAATTAAAGGAACATTCCAACTATAATTATGTACTTCAGAGAAAAAAAAGTCCCTGACAATCTACACAAGAGCACTCTGCATTTGCATCACTGTTGTCAATATTTTCAGGGATTTCATTAAAAGCAGCTCCCTTTCTATACTTGACTAGTAGACAGCAAATGTCTCCATTTTGACCTTTGGAACTTGGTAAGGTATAGTTCATTAAAGCCTGTATTGAAAATAAAAACTGCTTCTCATAATCTGGGCTAGGGGAACGGGATGAGGGGGGCCAACAAAAGCTTTTAATGGAGCAGATGTTTTCTGAGCAGTGCTGAGGCAAGTCTTTGGTTTGAGAGAATCTAGGATGTTACCGTGCCACTTGGGCAGTTCAGAAGACTGCCACTACGTCTGTTTGTTTGCACACTGCTAAATAATAATTGGAGAAGTTGGCCAGGGCATTAGTTCAAAAGTAATAAAAATAATTTTCAGAACTACTCCTTCATTCAACTATTTCAAACTAAACCCCTGCACCCATTCAATTAACATGTACTGTGTTAATGCTTCTCAAGGTAGAACTTATTTATAATAAAGCAGGCATTAACTTAGCAATGTTGGCACTTCAAATACCTGTGTTTCTTTATTTCCCCATATTAAGTTCTGAAGAGGTGGAATCTTAGTTGGGATTCTTTCTACAGGACGAGTAAGAAAGGCATATGCACACTTGCACCATTTCATGCACAAATTCAGAAAACAGTGCAAAACAAGACTTGGAAACTACTTAGGTTCATGCCTTCTGTTACAACTAAGTTAGAGTGTATTTAAAACTAACTTTATATCCAAGATGGGAAACGAATAAGCAGTCAATTTTAGTTTGTGTGACACAATGGAATATCAAAACTTCAGTAAAAATCAGTGATATCCTTGAGGTATCTTTAGGTTTTCTACTTTTTCACGTCAAAATGGAGAGCAAAGGCTGGCCCCTGATGAATGTTAGTATATTAGGATATAGAGTTATATATAGCCATCAAAAATAAAATCTATATATTTATCCTTCAGGAGAGGAAATGCCAGTTAACTAGTTGTCATTACTCTAGCTTTGGTAGGATTTCTAGGGCTGTAACCAGACAATTGAGTTCTCAAAGAAAAAAAAAAAAAAAGTGCACTCCCCCCCTCAGTAGTAACTTTACTTAACTTTTACATTCAGGAATTCTTAAAACGTAATAATTTTGATGAAAATATAGTAAGCTCTGCCTATCTCATTAGTAATTTGGATGTGGGTGGTAGTCAAGAGGCACGGTCAAATACATACAGAACTAAAATTTCAGCCTCAAAACCCTTAACAGATTTTTTTAAAAAGATCATTATTATAATGCTGCTTCAACTTTGCTCATGCATTTTTGTTGCTTTAAACATGCTCTTTCCTGTTGGTAGGTAAATGCTAGCTTCATCTGTTGCTGGAAAATTCAGAAGTCGAAACAAAAAGAGAGGCTAAAACAGGCTTCCATGGGGAAAAGTGTCAGAACAGAACGATAGTGTTATTGTTACACGGTTATTTTAATAAAAGTATTCTTATGTTCTTTATTAACAATAATTTAATTAAAAAACCAAAATACTCTATTGTTTCAATTCTCTTTTCTTAATATTTTTCTCTCCTCTAAGAAAATGTTGCATGAAATTAAGTGTTCTCTCGGTAGTAAAGACAAGAGAATGCAACTCGCTTGCAACAAGTTACCAATACGAAAAGGAGTTCCCAATACAGTTTTCAATGACAAGATTCTACAAAATACCCATATTATAGGTCATTCTTTCATTATACTATTGTTAAATTACAGACTACTACAAAAGGGCATGCTATCTTGAATAAGAGAAAGGGTAGGGTGGGGTAGGGACAATCAGGATAACAGAAGAGTGCACTTAATTTGAGGCCTGCATATGAGCACTGCAGTGATCATTTAGTTCCAGCGGAATGAAATATGTCTTGGGCGATCTCCTCCCTCCTTCACCAGGGGCTTGTGGAATTCCCTGCCAGCGCGTGAATGGATAGCAGCCCAGCAATATTCACAGTAATACTGCAGACAGGTAACATTAGCACAGAAAAATGGAGCAAATTTTCCACCGCAACGGGCCCCCTGACATTCATCACAAAGCTGATCATCCAAGACATATGGCTTAACTTCCACCTGTATTCAGAAAATGAGAAGAAAGTTTACAATTCTTAACAACAATGTAGATAATGACAATTCCACACTATTTACTGTGTTCTATCAGGATTGCGATCAAAGTTCTGTAGTAGGGAACATCACAATTTCCCTACTACAGAACTTTGTATTTTCCCGCCCCCCCCTGTTACACATGATCATCGCCATTAAATACCCAAAACTACAGGCACGCAATTTGAGAACAACCCTGCTCCCACTGTCCTACTTGATCCTTTAAAAAAAAAAAACAGAAACCAATGCTGACCATCACTCATGCTGTCACTGCTTTACAGAAAGGACCAGTCATTGATTTGCAGAAAGGACCAATCAACCCATTGCTGCAGAACTAATACACAGATTCACATCTAAACCATGTAGAATTCTGAGGGTTTATTTTTAAGTATGGTGATGATGCACAATTAAGCTCCTACTCTTTCAGGTAGGAATGTAAACTGTTTACACAACACTGTAACTGCAGATTAAATATGCACATGGGTCTGCAAAGCTCAATGTCTGAATTTCCAACTTCAACAAATGTCATTTATTATCTTAATAAACAGCACATTTCTTTTTTAGTTTTTCTGTGGCTTAGTCCTCTCAGCAAATGGAAAGTTACCTAATCTTGCTGTGATCAAATGAGAAACTTAACATGGGACTGATGCCCACCTCCGCTGTTGGCATTAAGGGCTAGATGATGAGCAGTAGTTCAGTACAGCAGACAAGAAAGGAGAAGAAAAATTTCAAGTTCTTAACTGATAATGACTCACAGGAATTTACCAGCTGGTGCTCCAAGAATACATCTACACTGCAACATCTGCAGGCTACTAGCTTTTAATCCAGGCATTTGCATACCAAAACCAAGCCTGCTGTACTGTGGGCTACAAAATCGTGCTCACAGCACTCCTGAGCGCTTTCTCTGTGACAGCAAGGCAAAGCTTGCTGCTCACAGTATCCATGCTGGCTACAGCACAGCTCGTTTAGACATGCCTACATGTCCAAATCACAACTGCAGAACTGCCATCCCCTAAAGGCTCAGATTCACCTCAAAACCAGTAATCACCTCCATTCCTTAGCTCCACAGAACAGTGAAAGGTCCATGTGACATACCAGAAGCGCAACACAAAATTTCACAGGTACAAGTTGCCATTCTAGAAGTGTCTGTGAGCCTTCTCTGAAGCTCATTTAATTAGATGTTTTCACAAACTTTTTCAAATATCCAGACTGTGACTGGCATCTCTACTGTTAACCTGTTATCTCTGCATCTGGCTTAGGGATGGTCCTTTCTGTATCTTACAAAGCCCAGAGGTATGCCAGATCATTCAAAGGAGGACATTCAAAAGTTCCTGTGTTTTAAGCTTACCCAGTTTTATCACAGTCCAGACAGAGCACTGCAGTAGTTTGATGTCATTTGTGCTTACAGTACATATGAACTACTTAGAGACAGTACAGCAGCCTTTTTTTTTTTTTGACCTGTTTTTCTGCTCTTCCACAGCTAGAGTTGTGTTTCTCAAACATCGCTCCACGCCAACTCGGAAGAATTAATTTGTAAAAGAGCAGAGGCAAACAAATATTCCTAACACCATGTTCTCCCTTCACCACTTAGATAGCTATGTATTCTGAGATTGGGTATTCATTGATGAGTGTTGTCTTCTATAAGAGCTAAGAGAAGAAGCTACAAATATGCTATGCAGGCCCCTTACCATGGCAATTCTTCTCTATTATGTCTACTCAGACATATTCAGAGGACAAACTACAGCACTGGTAATTATACCTCTGCTTGCTTTAGCCTGCTACTGCAGCACTTGTTTTAGTGCAAGTTTGCAACCCACAGATACTAGTAAGAGTCCCCAGTGCATTTATTCAGTGTGTGCTTGTCCTGGTTTGGGCTGGAATAGAGTTCATGTTCATTTTTGGTAGCTGGAGGAGTGCTGATGGCACACTGAGATTTCAGGGACTCTCCAGCTCTGCATGCCCTGCATTACCCATTTATACTGTCACCATATTATTTTATTACTCTTATTAAACTGTTTTTATCTTAATCCACGAGTCTCCCTTTGCCCCTCCGACTCCCTCCCCATTCCCAAGTGGGGGAGGGTGGGCGAGTGGCTGCGTGGTGTTTGGCTGCCAACCAGGCTCAAACCACGACAGTGCTGAAGTGCATGTGCCAAATACAGCCTGTAACTGTTACCTGTGCTAGGTGTAGCGAGGTTTCCCAGCTACAAAGCTTAAACTACAGCAACTTCATTGGGCATACTTAGGGTGGCAGCACTCATCACTGCAGCTCTGCAGTGGTGGGTGCTGCAGGCCACTGAGAATTTAATTTGAATTATCTCTTTGAAGGGCACACCCTTTAGCAGCACCTCCTTGCCTAATTTTACAGGAAATCCCTTCGTGTTACTAATTTTATTTTTACAGAATAACTTTATTAGAGAAATTATTAATAATAATACCTTATTAACAAAAAGTAGTACTGCCACTGTTGTATTTTTATCTCTAATGCACCCAACCCCTCCTATAATGAATCCTCTAAGCACTTAACTCCCCACATTTCTTCTGAACTACACACAAAATGGGGAAATAAGGAGGAGTGGGAGGAGAGAAAGAAGGGGAAATAGATTGCAAAATCTTTGCTAGAGTTCACAAGTACTTACTTAAATTTGAAGTCCCACCAGCTTCAATGGACCTATTCACCCAAGTGTCTGCTTATGCAAGCAGAAGTTGCACAAGGGCAGCCCAAATTATTTGTTCAAAGCCGTACAGAACTTATTTCAGAGCCAAAATTAGAACAAAGACATTCCAATTTGCAGGCCCACAGTCAAAGTGTTGTTAAAATTTTTCTACCCAAGCTTTGCAGCCAAAGCAGAAGTGAAATGATAATCAGCTAATCAGCCAAGTTTGGGGGTTTTCCTCTGTAGTAATTATAAAATTAAAATCAATAATGACAGTCATGTAAGAAAAATTCAGAGACAAAGCATGAATTAGAACAGAAGATGTAAGTATCCAAGTTTCTTAAAACTGTGGCCCAAAGATTACTGTAATTGGCAAAGTCACATTTTATATAGATGAAAAGGGCAGACACAAGCAAACTGCAGATCCATTTGGCATATTCCTTTAATTTATAACAATAAAGGAATAAAATAACAAGACATGGCCTTTGCGTAAACTGTGGAGGATGACTATGAGGCTGTAACACACACTAACGAGGTTACAATGCGTTACCATGATGCTCTTTAGGACCACACAGCACACAGTGTGTAACACTAGGGCCAGATTCTGCCCACTCTCTAAAAAGATGCAGAACAGGAGTAAGAACTGATCCACCCTTGGCAGATACCTTGCTCCCTGACATTATACAAACACTGCAAGTGCAAATACTTGCAGTGGGAGTATATGACGAGTGCAATATTCTTATAAAAGGCCAAGGCAGCTGACATGCTTCCCATTATGCTAAGCAATTTGAGAAAGTCTGCTTCACAGTTGCCTCCCACGTTCCAGAAGCAACAGCTCTGTACTACTCCTTCATTTTTATTCTGTGTTGTATCTAAGTGGCACAATCTAGCCCTAAATATGCAATTAATCTGATATAACATTTACAGTCTTCACAATGACACACATTTACATGGAAAAGCATTTCTAGAGAAAGTACTGAACAAAAATAGAATACGCTTGAAGACCTTACCCGTTTATCTATCTCTCCATGCTGCAGCTGAACAAAGCGAGCACTGATAGCAGCTATGTAACTCTGTTGATTAGAAAATGCAACCCGCCCAGCTCCTTTTGGGTACTTCAGCTCAGGGTCTGTGTCAATTCCAGCATAGCACACTCCTCCATACAGCCGATCCATTATCATTGCAAGTTCCACTAAACCAGAAAGGAAAACGAAACAGTGGTGTAGACTTGGCAATTTTCACTAAAAGCATCAAATGAAACAGTCAGTTTGTATTCATGTCCCCCGCTGTAAGTGTCAAGAACACTTAATACTTCCCTTGCTGAAATAACTTGCTTCCCCCATTGCTCCCCAAATCAGACTGCATATTCAACATGCCCAGTGCTGCGGAACACGCAGTGTACCTGCTCGTAAAGGCCGAGGAACACCACCAACAAAAATGGTTTTTCGTGGGTCAAGAGGCTGTGAACCATCCATAACAAAATCACTATCACTAAGGTTCCAAGGCCGGATCTGAACCTATGGACAAAAAGCCTTTTTTTTTAACCATTCACAACTCAAAGTATCTTAGTAATATAAATTAAAACAGCATCCTACAAAGAAGAAAACCTCTTAAACACTGTACTTTCTAAACTAATTTTCTACTCATTCAGCAATCATTTCTCAAAATAAAATGGTAATAAGCTCTGTTAAGACAGACCACTTGACCATACTAAATTTCACCACTTCCTTGTTACCCAAACTTCTGGGAAAAAAACCTCACCCTCTACTTACACATTTACTTAATCACACTGAACTGTGCTGTACAAACCACATTGGTACATACGTATCTATGCTGTTCATGTAGTTCTAGCCAAGTGTAAGCACTAGACTAGTGTTATCTCAATGCAACAGGCTCCAGTGCACAAAGTTGTGTGCTTATTTACTATGCAAAACTAGCTGCTTTATATCTGCTGGCCAAATTTGAAGTACAGGAGTACAGCCCCAAACCATCTGTACTAATAATTTACTGTTCAATGCCATGTTATGTTTTTTTGAATTTGTCTCTGTCAAAGCAAGTTATATGCAACACTCAGACTATGAATTCTACAGTTTAATCAATAATAATCATAAAATACCTGTCTGGAAATATGTTTATTACATCAGCAATGGTGAAATTTAGCAAACCTCCTTTTTCTAACAAAAAAATGAATTGTAACTAGCCTAAAAAACTTCATAAGGGCATCTGAAGAGAACAATTTCTTCTTATCATACAGGAGTTGTGCAGACCCTGACAATTCTACCTACCGGTTTGTCTTTGATAGTGGGGCTGGAAACACAAAGATAGAGCTTCCCATCTTCTTCAATACATGCATCAATCAGTGCCTGTACAGAGCTTTCATCTTGGAACAACAAAAATGCATATCCTACAAAAGACAAAACAAACACATAACTTCTTTTGTCTATTTGCCTATAGGATAATAATTTAACCCAGAGTTATGCTTGGCACCATGTCATCATGCTACCATACAGTAAGGGACAAACTTTAAGGTGCTCTCACACACTTCCAATCCAGCTTCCTCCAAGTCCTCTGCAGAGACATGAAGGAAAGCAGGGAGCTTGCTTATCAGCACACTCTCTCCCCACTTCCTTTGAAAAGGATAAGCCAGCGGTATGAACTGAGCAAAAGCCACAGCTGTAGACACAAACCTGCCAGGATGGTTGTTAATATAAGGTACAAATCCTTTCCAGCTTCTGTGGAGGGCATTTAGTCCTTTTAAAGAGGACTAGTCTTGACTATTATTGCAAAAATAAAGAACAACAGGGGGAAAAAGGAAAATGGAATAAAGTAAAACCAGAAAGTTAAGGAAGAATTCTTTTAGTGCAGAATAATTGCAAAGCCACATTCTAAATCCCAACAGTTTATAACAATCCCAAGGATTAAACATTTTTCCCCCTAAACACTGGGTCATTGTCACAAAAATCTTGTCTAAAATGGAGTCTCATCAAAAAAACTGATTCTAAAATGTTCATATGTTATTGGTTATCAAGTATTTACCTTTAGGAGGAAAATAAGATTTGCTCTCTGCCTTGTGTGGCCAGTCTACAATCAAGGGTCCAAAGCGACGAAAACTAGCAGTGATCTCATCTGTAAAAAGAGAAAAAAAAAGGCACGAATTGAAATTAAAATACATTGAATGGAAGATATTTGAAGAACATTGATTTCAGGTAGCTTCATCCTACAAATAAGCATTCTATGATCCTGAAGGTTCAGCAGCTCATAGCAATGCTTACTAGCTGATGGGGAGTCTTTATGGCAAGTCAGAACATACATTGGAAAACAAGACAGGTCAAAGATCAAGCTTTTATTTCTACTGATGATTATCAATAAAACCTCATGACCCATTAATTCACAGAAATGGAGTCACTGCATCTGTACAGCTATCATAACCCATATCATAACCTAGCTTCAACTGTTCTCCCACAAAGAGTTTAGAGACAATTTGCTGACTTGCTAGTGAGGCCAATATGCCTTATAACTGCAGAAAGACTGGAAAAAAATGAAGGGATTATCACCAGACCCAGCCATGCCTGTTCATACCTCATGCCAGTGCCACATGTGCAAACACTGTCTGAGCTTGACCTCAAACTAGCAGAGTAAACTTGCAGGACATAGCTATGTAATTTTATAGGACAGATGGCAAGAACATATTACTGTATCAAGAAGCAATTCTTGCATCCATTTCAATTCTGCCTTTGACCTCAAATTACTAGTATAAATTTGCATATGCTAGTCCTATAGAAGTCTTCTAGTTGCAATTCTGTTCCTAAGAGTGAGTGATTATTCCCTTTTCCTTCTCCACAAACACACTTGAACCATTGATAATTAAAGTTCTCTGGACAAGACTTTTAATTAAAAAATTGAAACAAATGGAACAAACTTCACATTGCTAGTGTCACCTAAATTGGCACACTGCTCAGCTGTGTTCTGTAATGGCACTGCAGGGCTTTCTATACTAGCACATTGTTGGGAGGTTCTAATACACAATTTAGAGGATTTTCCCCATCCTCAAATGCAGTTAGAAATCTGAAAAGGTGCTACCAGTTATGTCTTTTTCAGTTTGCTTACACTCTTTGATGACATTGCTAATGAAATAGTTACTGATAATCCACTGCACTGACGGCTTCTCTGTGTACTACCAATCATCAGGAACATATACAAGCAGGGGTGGTGTGTCAAGATGACATGCTGATGAAGATACCAACAAAGGGAACAATACTTACTATGTAACTATTCTTAAAATAGATCTCTGTTCAGAAGAGCACTTAACACAAATTTAATGTTGAAGCACATATATAAAATGCTTTCTAGAAACATGATCAGTAAAACGTCAAAAATTCAGCTGTGATATAGATTTTAAATTGTATACTTATTCTAATTCACACTTGTGCAACAGGAAGAGCACTGACAGAAGCAACACTGAAAAATTCAAGCTACCCTCATAGCTCAGGTTTAAGAAAGGTCCTATTCCATAACTAGGGTCCACAAAGATCAAACTATTCATGTGCTCATCTGCTTTGAAAACCACAAAGGTGGCAAAGTTAAAAAACAAACAAAACACCAACAAAGGCAGAGAAACTATAAGATAATTTTTCCTTTTGTGAACACTGTTAGATTTGACCTTTTAATAATAAAGTAGCTCTTATGTGTGACATGAGTCAGATTGTCATGTCACAGTAGTACACACCGCAGTGCATCACACTCCCCTGATGCAAAAAGTAGGTATTAAAACAATTCTGTCATTAATAAAAAGAAACTTTTCAGATCTACAGTTGCTGTAAATCATATGCTTATACATACAGAACTCTAGTGAAATGAAGCTCCACAATGTTTGTACGTTGTATTTTTTTAATTTTTTTTTTCATAACAACTGCAGTATTCTGTCACCTTTATCTGTATGATAGACCCACGACAAATTCCTGGTTCCTCACTGTATGCAATTGTCTCTGCACAGAATCATTCCTGTCTGTGTCCTCACCATGCACTCATTAGAAGCTTCCACAGGACACGTTGCTGAAAACCTCTGAGAACTATACATAAGCATCCAAATAAAGACCTACAACTTACTATGCTACACAAACTTTTTAAAACTACTAGCAACACTTTTTCTACTACTCGTTTCTGGTGCCTATGAAATTATTGCAATGTATTTATGAGTTTCAACAGGTGAAATTTACTTGTTTATTTTTGTAGCGCTATCCCTTTTTTATCATTTTTATACTGTAGAATTAGTTAAGTACATGGTAACGATTTTGTTCTTCAATGGCAGAACAATCCTGTAGTCTGAACTAGTTTGAATTATCTCACATTTGCCATGGACTGAAAGTGATAATATGCAAAGATCCATTTACATGTCAAAGCCTTTCTGTAGAGTTTGGAAAATAATCATTCATTAGATGACAGACAAAAGGTTTCACACCACAGTTTTGTCTTTAAGCCAGGAGGAGCTTTTCTGGGTAAGATTTTTGGGGTGTACCTTCATCAATATCTGGTGGCAGTCCACCGACAAAGACTTTACGGGAATACCGTTCCACTCTTTCTCCGTTCTGATGGGAGAAGCAGTGAGGTGATCCTAAACCACTGTGAAGAGTCTGATCCCCACGTCCATCATCCAAGAACCCGTCTTCCATCGGAAACAGTGAAGATTGACCTGAGGAGAGGGTTAAAAAAAAAAAAAAAGAAGGGAAAAAAAAACATACTAACAGAACAAAGCGCATACCCTTTAAACAATTTTTAAAAAAACCACTAGTTGCTGCATTAGCAGTAGAACCATTTGCAACCTTCCCTTTTCCTGAGCAGTTGTGTTCTCAATTTCATGTGAACCTTAGAGTTTCCAGTATCATTCAGTAATTCAAATGCATTTTTTCAGAGAAAAGGTTGCTACGTTCTTCATAACTTCACTACAACTAATGAAAATTTGAAACAAAAAACGGATGCTCAAGTTGATAATTTTCTGTAATATTTTGCGTTTCCAATTAGATTTCTTTTAAAAAGATGTAAAAACAGAAGAGAATATAAGCCAATTTTTTTTTTCTGCAACTTCCCCAATAGCAGACATCACTGAAACCTAAGCCATATATATAATTTTCCACTGAACAGCTTCTTACAATGAGTAGATACAATTTCACAGTGCAGATGGGAAAACAAGAATTCTACCAGCTAAATATATTACACATTTAAATTACCTGATATCAAAACATATCATAAACCACCCACTTGTAAATAACAAAAATATCCTAGCAAAACCAGGAAGACCCACTGTAATTTACTGCAAATGAAGACTGAAAACTAGGCAATACCGTGTCATTCCTAGAAGCAAGTTTACTTAGATGTTGCAACAGAGTTTCGTTAATGGACTTACTCTAAGAGAAAATGTTGTAAGCATGCTTCTCCTCACAGCCCAATATTCTTCTATGATAATCCTTGTCACAGATTTCCTTAATAATATTAATTTATTTTAAATAAGATTCTTTGATTTATAAATGCGACTGTAGAATATCATACAGCACACAAGCTGATCTCTTCCATGAATTTACCCTTTAGTTACAGTATTCAGTATCTAGACAACAAACTGAATAGACTACTTCTCATTTAAGGAAACTTTTAGGAATAAATAAATATGTATAGAAAAAGTAAGCAAATAAATAAGGTGTGCTATAAGTTTTAGAATACATTTCCTTCTGCCTATGATGTGATATACTATGTCTGCTTTTTCAGAATTTATTACAATCTATCACAGTAATGTATCAGTAAGGTTAATTTATCCTGCACTTGCTTCCTTCCTTTGAAATAAATTGATTTTAAAAAAGAAAACATCTTGAAAACAGAAAGTTTGACCAGTTCCAATATCCAGACATTTTCCATGCAAAAATCAAACAGCTAACAAGGTGACAGAAAAAAATGCAATAAAATCCACAGTCCATAGAATTTATACAAACAAAAAATGGAAGGCTCAGTCAGCTTGCTTTATTTGAAATTTCAAGAATCTTTGTATACATTTTGTTAAAAGTCAACTATGATCAGACCTGTTTCTGTAGCTAGGCACATCTGGTTACTACTATGATAAAAATAATGTAATATAGACTTAAATGCTATTTTGTTTTCCCCTAATGAACTAATGCACGTCATTTGTTTCATCTCTTGAGACCCCAGTCCGGCAGGTATTCTTGGAAGGGAGCAATTCTCCATACCTAAACAACCTTTTCAGGTTCATCCCCATTACCACTGCTGTTAGATAATTTGACATGCATGCTTGCAGGGTCTGGTTCTTTAACCTAGCAGGCCAGAACGTATGTTCACTATAGTCTATGCTGCATCAAGAAAACCATCAGCACCCAAAAGAACCAAAATAAACTTCTCCAGCATTGGCATTGACAACATACACACAAACACAGCAACGTAGCCCTCCAATGTAACAAATCATATAGATGATGTCCACTGTAAGGATTGTGATCATTTCAGCCTCAATAGTATTACTGTGGAGTACTACCTAATTCAGTTAAAATGTTTATGGCATGCAGACTATGGAAACTTATGTGAAACTGATCCTTTATAAACTTGTATTTTGGTATTTGCCCTCTAGTAACAACTTAAATGTTATTTCTCCCATGAGACATTGTCAACATTAGAAAATTAAATAGGAATATTGTTACCTCGCCTTCTCCCATATGTCCTTGCTGCATGTTAAATGAGAAAGAAAACAGCCTTTCAAACATTGTTAAAAAGGACCAAAAGACCTTGTTTTACCGCCTTTATACTAACTCAGTGATTCTCAAGTCTTTTCATACTCCAGTCATTTAAAATGGTGTTCATAAGCTGACCTCCCCCACCACCCACAATACCATGCCTTCCTTGCACCATCTCTGTTACTTATTGATAAAACATGTTGATATGAGGCTGACAAAGTATATATGTATACTCAAACAGACTGCTTGAAAACAATTTTAGTTCTTAATTTGCACATTTATTTTTGAACCTATTCCTTAATCCTCTGCTGGGTGTATGCCTGTAAGTAAATGCATCTCTCCTCACACACCAATCTGCAGTGCACTGTGCTCTCAACCTTGACAAGTTCAAGCACACTCTAACACTGATCTTCATTTGAACTGCAGGAAAATCCCTAACACAAGGAAAGGGGAGGACTACTGTGTTAATTTCTGTTTTGAAATGAGGTTGCTATGAATGCTTTGCACAATCCACAACCTTTGGTTAAATTATTACTGGCAAACAACCAGATAAAAAACTTAAGGAGAAAATGTCTGGGGCACTAAAATTGCCTTTCAGACCTCCTGCAGTCTACATACAACATTACAGATTCTCTCATACTAACTTAGTATACCTCACTGTAAGTACTTGACACCGCTTCCTACTTTTCATTTTCCAAAACAAATCAAATCTACCACTAAAAAATACAACATTTTTCTGTGCTGACTTGCAGGACCCATTGTCAGAATATGGCCAAATGTTCTAATCAAACTTGGACATTCTTTCTCTTTTAATCTCATTAAAATCCATATCTGAAAGCAGGCCAACTGTTTTCAAAACTTCAATACTCCTGGCAAGTACTATGAGAAACTGAGCACATCATGCATCTTATTTTGCTTCCTCATTCAAAATTGAGACTGACAGTTAGTTTAAGCATTGAAATATTTGTAAACCACAACAAAACAGGAGTTGTTTCCTCTTTCAAAATAAAAATTATATCAATCCAATTTACTTCATGATTATTTAACATCTGTAAGATCACTCTACTTCTCTGATCTTTTGCTGATAGAGACACTCACAATTAACACCAAGAATACAAAATAATGAAGCCCTAGTCTTCAGACTGGAGCATATTTTTCAAGTGTTCACAGAGGCACTGGCTTTATGGAAGAATCTTAAAGGCTGAAGGCCTTTACAAGTATGATTTTTCCATGGTAATTCTGAATTTAGAAATTCAAGATGCTCATACAGCCCTCAAAGTAGAAAGTTTTAAGGAACCTGTCTTTTATGGAAAGCAATCGGCAATCTTACCGCATTTCTGACAAAGCTCAGAAGCCTTTGCACATTTTAGAAAACATTAAGCGCTTTCAAAAACAGCTCCGCCTATAAAGCCATAAAAATCTTGCTTGTGGTTTCTAAATTACTAACAAAACCACACAAACTCCCTTCACTTGGTACACCCAATCTTGGCAACAAAGCATGCAGCAGAGATACGACTCCCACTGTGGATCTGCGACCACAATTTAGGTCAGCAGACTCCTCACTGCTTTGCCACCTGTGTCACTCAAGGCAATAGGATTTTTCTCCTTTATCAGTATGGAAAACAACAAAAAAAGCTCAGCCACCAGCTAGGAAGCATTTCCAGTGCCAAATATTATTGAAGAGCTTTTGAGAACCAAATACTAGGATTTTTTTTTTTTCTTAGTTTGCTTATTTTCTGCATTTGCTTCATCTAACTCACAAAATACCAACATTTGACATTTCAAAACATTTCTGAGGAGCCACAGTTTATAAACTACCCCAGTACAGCACAGATACAAACTTTCTCTGCTCATTGAATTCAGAGCTCATCACACACCATTAATTTCACACAATGTAATACACAACACTGAAACTAAAGAATGCTCTTTTGGCAGGCCAGGAAGACAGCTAACTGTGATTTACCAATTCTGTCTCTGGCTTTCATAATTTCATATTAAGAGAAATCTTTGCTACATGAGTACCCTAGCTAAACTGCAACATAAATGAAACCTTAAGGTAACTGTTACCAATCAAGAGAAAAATATTTAATTCTGAAAATCAGGATGCTTGCCTATCTCCTGCTGAGAAATGAGACAACTACAACACTAGTCTGGATTCCTCAAATCTATTTTTCCCTTTCTTCAAAATTTGAGATAACTGAATAAAGGGCCTAGGACAGATTTACTAATCTCACAAGATATCTGAGCAAGAATTATGTTCCAAAACCTAAAAAAAAAACATTGTTAATGCCACCGGTTCAACTGCTTATTAATAACCTATGCAGAGATAGTTTTCTGATAAAATCAGTCTGAAATTTAAAATGCTATTAGCAGCTGCTTCAATTCTCACCTCAGCCCTCCCTGCAACACTCCTAAGAAATAAAGCCACACAGAAAGCCAATGATCTTTTGCAAAAATCTGCTGCATTTACTGTCTTTCATTTTAAGGAACTTAATGAATAAGCAACCCACTCAAATTTTTGTGTCTTCTCTTCATTTGAGACACTTAATGGGCTCCTGGCCATCTCCCTCTCTTTTATTTTTTTTTTAAAAATCACATCTTTCATGTCTAATGTACCTCCAATTAAATGTGTTGAGCTTTCTTCTCTCTAAAGGAAGCACCAAAAAGATTGTGAGCATGTTGTGTATAATCACACATACAATTCTGTGTGAATTACACAGTTCTCAATGACAAAGATACTCTGCTGAAAAAGCATGAAAAACATATGCAGGAAGACTAAATCACTCAAACCTCAAACTTCCTACATGCTTGTCCTGCAAAAACTATGCCCAAGCTAAGCACCTGACACTCCTTAATGGTTCTTGCTGCCCTCCAATTTGCACGATGGAAGTAATTTCAGGTGTATTTTGTGCCCTTAACTGTGGAAGACTTACATTAAAAGGTCAGCTCAAGAGCAGACTGTTGAAAGCAAAGGGACCAGCAAGCAAGATCTGTATCTCCCATGAATGTCATCACAGCTTTCTGAGGCCACGTTATGACTATGCGAATTGTTCAAGCATCCACAGTTCATATTAATATAAACACCATAAAACCCTGGAGCGGACAGAGCACCTGAATGCTCAAAGTTAAATTACAGTTGTACCTTCATTCTCGCTACCTTGCTATAGCTGTTTCAAGGCATGCAAAGTCTGGGGTGATGTAGTACCTCTCCAGTTTTGTACCTAATTCGTATCTTTTGTCCAAGAGCTCCTCAACGCAGGGATTCTATCCTTTACTGTGGCACAGAGGCCAATATAGTAACACACTGCAATCATTTATCTTAGTTACCAGTATGCTTTCATTTCTTTCCTCTCAAAGATCAAACGAGACTACATTCATTCATGAGTTCTAAGGAATTTCAGGTTTCTATGCACATTACTCACTGAAGTTACCAGAGAAATATTTTTTAAATTTAAAAGGGACAAATATTCATGTTGACTTTTTACATAACCTGACTGAGAACAAGACCCAATCACACCCTTCCACCAGGCTCTACCACCAAGACAGCTTCCCACCATCCAGCTCCAAGAAAGCTAGGGAACTTACGCCCATTTGCATACTCTTTCATATTCTACACCAATCATACAGGCTCTAGGAAAAATATTCAAGCTGAACAAGATTTTGCGGAAGTGATCCTAATTTCATAAGCTTTCATGAGTAAAGTAATGATTTTAACTGCTGATTTTCAGGGACAAAAAGCAACTAACAGAAACCTACAGTACAAACAAGGGAACCACTACAAGGGAAACAGACTACAACTCTTGCAAATTAAGGCAGTGAAGAGGAGAAGGGAAAATAAAGCCTTTATACCATCATCAGCTACTTGTTAAATATTATATAAACAGAGAAAAGCATAGGAATCCAGATATTTTTTAAAAAGGGGAACAGGAAGTTTTTCTCTAAGACTATATTGAAACCTTTCCATAGTATTTCAGAAAATTTTAACTGTAGATGGTCATAGGTAGCCAGTTTCTTATGTTGGAAGGCAAATATGATCAATGCACAAACAGAGTTTCAACCTTTCACAGAAACTGTTTATGCTGCTAGTTATTTTCTTCCCCTAAAGGGAAGACAGGGAGGTAATTTGGTGCTGGTCTGCCTTCTGTTTCACTTAGGACTTAATTTTTAGAGAAACAAGTACCAAAGTTTCACAGGATTATTTCTAAATGTGAACTGGGTATCCTTGAATCTATTACAGAAAATAGTTATGCTTTCATTAGTTTTATTTTTAAATTATAGAAAAATAACTGAAGTACAATCCACCATTCCAGCAGCAAAGTCTTATTTCTAAATAATTCTACACTAAACTGTATTTTGTAATTGTAGCAAGATTGACAATGCTGTGCACAAGGCCATTAAAATATGAACTACAGTATTTTATTACCTTTTCCCCCTACTACTCCTTGAGGGCAGATAGAGTTGATTATAACTCAAGACTTGAGATTTTATCACTTCATTATTTCACAATGCATTTCATACGTAATGCATGGATCACATGTTTCTACCACAGGTAACAGCACATTTCCCAAGAAGTTCTATAAGGTCATCTCAAGCCCTATTTCACTAGTAAAGAATCGAATCATATCCTTAGCCAAACTAAAAGCAGAAAAATTAACATTAAAAATAGTATCTATATTTAACCTACCTTTGGCTAAATTATCTCTGTATATGAAGAAGCAATTCAGAGACCAAGACAGGTATTTTCAAAGAGGTATATATATACTTTCTCAAATTAGAACATACAAATCATATCTACCTATATGTATTATATACAAAGGTATTTATCCATATTTAAAAGACCCTTACAACTTAAATCTTAGATTATGTTTTCAATAGGAAAGCAGATAGTGCCATGAAGTGTTGCATGGCAGGCAAAAAAGTACTGTTTTTTATGCATTCCTTGTACTTTAGTTCTAAAATATTAAGGACAAAAGGATTAGGCTACAGTTCCA